GAGATATTATGGGATTTACATGATTGTTATGGTTAACTTGTACATTGGATCCTCATGTTGTGTTGGTTGAGCTCTTAGAGAAAGAGCTTGTTATAGCAATATTATTATAATATTTTTTTATTGAAATAAATAATTTAAAGACAATTTATCGATATTATTTTTTGATATAATATATTGTTATATATTTATTCCATGATTATTTATGTAACTATAATTTAGTATATAATTATATACAATATGATTGAATTATGAATAATATCTAAACTAGGTCATAATTATTAATTATAGCTTGAATCTATATTTGAGTATTATTAGTACAGTCCATCAATATTTAGAATGAAAGTCTTGTCTGGATTTTTCGAAGTAGAGATATTAAGGATAAAGATACTTTATATTATATGATTATATATAACTGGACCAAATAAATTTTGAATTCTCTAATAAATTTTATTTTAACTAAAGTGGTTTTAAAATTTATCATTAAGATGACCATATAAAAACAATCTTAATTCTGAGTTATTAAAAACTCTTATTTGTAACATTTGGTTTCTTGATTTACTCTGAAATAATTTGGAAGATATAAACTCAATCATTATATCTTAGAAACAAATGACTGGAAATATTAATATACATATATAGAATTCATTCTTTTTAATTTTAAAAGTTAAAAAATTAGTTCTCTTGAATAATTAATTTAGAGCTTGAATAATTGAAACCCTAAATTGTGTGATAAGATCACTTTGGTTTACTTTGTAGTTAACTTTGTAACATGAATCCATAATGGCTTATCAGTTTCTACAGATGGCTCTTTTGAGCCTTCACCTAATCCACTCCCGCTAGCAGCCGAGCTCATTTTGCTAACAAACCAATCATGCATATGAATACATCGAATTAAAATGATATGAAGTGAAATAAAAAAAATCACAACATGAATAAAACAATATACCAGTCTGCCGGGGGTCCAAGTGGGCGTTGCCCCCTAGAGGGGTTCGACCTGCCCGGTCAGATCGCAGGGTCAAGGGGCAGCGCCCCTGCGGGGGTTTTCCGGGGCAGCGCCCCCGGAACAAAATTTTATTGTAAGAGTAATTTTGAAGTTCTGCTTGTTTTTAAAGTTCGTAAGTTGTTTGTATGTGAAGATACCGAGTGGTCTTGAGCATGTACCTAGCAGTATCGAGCATATACCTACCAATACCGAGCATGTACCTCGCAGTACCGAGCAGTACCAAGCATGTACATATCAGTACCGAGCAGTAACCTACCAGTACCGAGCAATACCGAGCATGTACCTAGCAGTACCGAGCATGTACCTAGCAGTACCGAGCATGTACCTACCAGTACCGAGCAGTAACCTACCAGTACCGAGCATGTACCTAGCAGTACCGAGCATGTACTAAGCAGTACCGAGCATTTACTGAGCGGTACCGAACATGTACCTAGCGATACCGAGCGGTACCGAGCATGTACATTAGGTTTTTCAACAATAAAGAGAAGAAATGGCGAAATCCACTTACAGGTCTTGGCTCTCGTGCGCGCAGAAGGTGCACTGTTTGGCCTTGATTGTGAACTTTGCTCGGATGACAACAGAAATAACGCAAGAACGAAGGAATGGGAAAGACGGGCTCTGCTTGGCCAAGCAGAAATGACGAAGGAACGGGAGGCGAAGGCATCGGGCTCCGTTTGGCGTCGACTGTGAGCTCTCCCGATCCGCCCAAGAAGATTTCTTTCGTGGATTGGAAAAATATGACCTCTCGTTCGCGAAAAGGTTAAATAGAACGGACGATTTTATCATTTAATAACCGGACACGCGTGTCTGGTTTATATTTTAATGTTTTAAATTCCGAAACTCCAATACCGTGTCAGACACGTGTCCATGCCGTGTCCGACGCGTGTCCGTGTCCGACACTGCATACCCTCTTTAAGAGGCGTGTCGGTGCATCACAAGTTGAATTTAAGCAATTGTATTTATTGAAGGTAAACAAAATACTTAAAATGCTTATTCTTTTAAGGGAAAAAAAAAAAGAATTTAAGGTTGGGCAATTGTCAATCTGGAGCTCTTCACGATTCTACCTTGCTTGAACCCATGAACTAATCACATGATAAAAAGAATTTGAATATTGTTAAAGGGAGAGTTTATGCCACTAAGGCTTCCTTTGAGATGGCTTTTTTCTACTTTTTAAAACAATTTTTTAGTGTAAAATTTTTCTTAATGCTTTCTAGTAAACATTTCTGGTTCAAAAAATTATTGTTTTAAAAAATTATTTTAAAAAATAGTAAAAAAGTTGTCCCAAATTAAACCCAAAATCAAAGTTCTTCTTCTATGCTCCGTACTTTGCAGAGGAAGGAGAAGAATAATAAGTCAGTCCAAAAAGATAAGGATTTGCTTGACAGGTGAAGGATACATCGATGGGAACCCCCCAACCACAGCAGAGGAATCAAACAAAATCATATATTCAATAGCTCTCAATTTTCTTTGTCCTAATCAGTTTAAGATAGTGGATTCCATAGTAATTAAACAAGCCATTTTCATGTGGACAAACCGGGCTTTAAATTATTTGATTTCATGACACGCAAAAATCATTCAAATTGCTTTGTCATAATTTCATTTGGTTTTATTATTGTTTTCTTACTTTTTTTTAGAAACTTTTATAGTGAAAAGTAAGTTTATACAACTAGAGTAGTTAATAAGCTATTTTCTTACAGCAAATACAGCAACTTTACAATCAACTTTATAAAAAATCACATCTTTCCAAAGAAAAACTAGGTGAATTATGCTCCTTTTATTCCTTTCTTAAAGATGAAAAAAACATAAATATGCTTAATTTCCTACTAAAAACAGAGTCGTGAGTTACCGAACAGAAAAATCCATTAGACTTGAGGTTCATTTAGGACAGCTTTCTTACTGTTTTCTAAAGCACCTTTCTCGTACAAAAATTTATGGTTCAAAAAACTTTAGCACTACAAATCTATTTTAGAAAGCAATAAAAAAGTTGTACCAAACGAAACCTCAACCCTTAAACCAAGTCTGAAATATTCTCACATATTAGATTCCACTCAATCATCAAAACCATATAAACCACAAATGTGTTATGCATGGATTCATCATACTTTGCAAATAAAAAAAAATGTAAAACAGTAACACAATGGGAAGAAGAAGATAAAAGAAGAGAAAAGAATGGCAATGGCCGACAAAGAATCCATGCAGGTTGAAAAGACCAACTTGAACTACAGAAAATGAGGATAAATGGCTATAATTAACGTGGAAGAAGGATCCAGAAGATCTCATAGTACTAAAATGGAGCAAAACTGACAGAATCCATGAAGATTTAGGATGATATGGTTAATAGATATGGATGCATTGAAAGGGAATTCTTCTTTCCCATTCACAGATTTTACTCATTTTTCTTTATGATGATGTGATGTCTGTTTCTTTAGACATGTGGGGGTACTAATTTTTCTCCATATCGTTAGATTGATACATTCTTTTATGGACCTACTTCACATGGCATGGACCCCTTCTGTGTCCTTATCTTCATAAACTATTCCTTCAAGAAAAAGAAATACTAACATTTTATGTATTAATTGTACATTTATAGCAATCAGATTGAGCTTTTTAAGCCTATGGGACGGCTTTCTACCTGCTTCTTACAATAATGTTTTTAGTACAAAAGATTTTAAACTAAAAATATTTGTACTAGAAAACTGCTTTAAAAAACAATAAGAAACTACCCCAAATGAAGTCTAAAATTATTCTATTTAGGCTTCATTTGAGACGGTGCTCTTATTGATTTCTAAAGCAACTTTTTAGTATAAAAATTTTTAGTTCTAAATATTTTTTAAATATAGTAAAAAAAAGTTATCCCAATTGAAGCCTGATGACTTTGTTGCAGCTTCTTAAAACAGTTTTCAGTACAAAAATTTTTGTACTAAAAAATACTTTAAAAAGTAATAAGAAAACAGTTCCAAATGAAGTCTTAGGCTTTGTTTGGGACGTCTTTCTTATTGCTTCTTAAAACAGCTTTTTAGTAAAAAAATAAAAAAAATTACATAAAATTTGCTTTAATAAGTAGAAAGAAAACTGCCCCAAACGAAGCCTTAATTTCAGCATCCTAACAGATGAGGACTATGATAAGGACAGTTACAGAAGTCACATCTATGCATGTCATGTGGGAAAAAACAATGGGCTGAAATGAGTGAGAATAAAATACAACGAATGTTTCAGGACTTTATTGTAGAACTAAATATCAACTGATTCCTCAGAAGTAATTCATCCAAACAAATAGCATCTAAGGAAAGGAAAAAAAAAAGAATAAAATAAAACTTATAGAAGAATAACTATTATTCGAGGGACATAAATGAGGCGATATGCAGCACAACAGTACGCATCTAATATGCAATAGTTTTATTTTGTGTAGATGTAGTATGCAATCATTTATTTAATATATATATTTCTGTTTTTTTTTTTATGTACAAATCAAACACAAAAGTTGAAATAAATAAGTATGCAAATGCATGCTTCAGAAATCCATGCATAAAGTATAAAAGATATCTACACTTAATAAATTCTCCTACTAAATGTTTGAAATAACTGTGGCTTTCTAATAAGCTGATTGTAAAATTGTTGAGAAGAAAGCGACTTACAATTCTGATTGTAAGAAATAACTTCTCACTACAAATTTTTGAAAAAAAAAAATGATAACCAAATAAAATTATTATTATTGTCTGAAAAAGCAAACCAGCAAGAAAACTATCTCAAATAAATTCTAAATGATTATTCAAATCTCCTATACAGACTAAATAAACAAAATGTGAACTATATTGTTAGTATTCCCACTTCAAGGGAATGTTTTATTCATTTCATATACCTGCAATTGGTATTGCCATGTGAAAAGAAGAAAGCAATTATGTTGAGTCAAAATAATAAAAATTTCCATTGGAATCAAGCGCTATATTAGTCATGTTCTTATGTTGTATGAACTGCAAAAATAGAAAACTCACTCACACAACATCAATCCTTACTCCAATATGTGATTATATAGCATTGAAAATTACTAACATCCATTTTCTATTTACTCTTATATGACAAAGCTCACATAGGCAGCATGTAATAAGACCACTAACAGTCCCAGAAAAAACAAAAAAACAGGCTTATATCAATATAATGTCCTGCGGTTCAGGCCAAGAACAAAGAGTGGTAATGCCTATTAATAAACTATCAAGATCCTTGTAACAAAAGAAACATACCCAATGGGAGGCTCCCAGCTTGTTTCTTAAGATAGTTTAACAATACCAAATCATCCTCACAGGAATTTATGAGGAACGGAATCAAAGTCATCAAAGTCTAATCTAGGTCTTTCTCTCCCAATCTGGAGCAATAACATAAAGTTCATCAGCAGCAGATTTATCCTAAGTAAAAAAAAATACAAAACACAGTGATGAATGAAGTGTTCTACCTTTGTAATGTAGGCCGGATCACAAGAAATGTGTTCATCTATTGCAGTTAATTTATTTGACAAGGCCATCAATCTAAAAGCACAAGTAAAGCAAGCTTAATGGATTTTAACCCCATGAAGTACATTACTCAAAATAAAAAAAATGCACCAATTCCATTAAGAATTTTTCATCATACTCAGCAAGTTGGTTACTACGAAAATAATTGAAACCGTGCTATGGTAAGGAGGAGTCTAAAAGGCAATAATAGTAGTTGACGAATGCTTTGTCTTAATTTTGAAAATGAAGGACCCAAATTCAAGTGACATTTTATTTCGGGTTTTTATCATTTTGGTAGCTCTAGCCATTAATTTCAATGCTTTTGGAAACTGCACATTTGTACAAAATCATAGACTTTCATATGCTGTTATAAATGCTTTAGTAATAGACAAAATGCATTTTTTCATGATAATAAATAATGGTAATTTTTTTTTTGACAAACTAGAAGATTGGCCTTACAGATTCTATTATGAAAATACTCAAAGATAATTGAGTTGTGCAATATGATGCAAGTGTACCTAGGAGCCATAGCTCATGACACATGCTATTTTAAAAATAATACAAATCTAAAAAATAATGAATATTTATTAATAATTTAATAATACAAGAAAAAACTTTATTTGAAAATAATATGTCACATAAGTAGTAGACAAGATTGTTTAACTTGAAGATATATAAAGATTAATGAAAGATAATAGATTAAAATAAAGTATTTTAGCAAAGATAAGGTTTAACTTGAAGAAAAAACTATCATCATTATAACAATACATAATAATAAAAAATGAAGAATATTAAAATTTAGGTTTATATCATCATCATTAACCTTATCCCAACTATTTGAATTTTGAAATATGATTACACTTTTGTTTCTTCATAAAACCCATATTCAAATTCAAAATCAAAACTAACTAATCATGCTTTGAAACATGATCACTATATGGGTCGAAATATCCTCATATTCATCATCATTGTCATCTCCTACATAATATTTTTCAGCACACTACTAGTGCCATTCACATAAAACGGCGGCTTTCTCACATAAAACGGCGTCCTTCCGATGACCCGATTAGGAAAGTAGAGGTATTAGATTTCACTTATATTAAGAAAGGTAAAGGTAGACCTAAAAACACTTGGTTAGAAAATAATAGAAATGATCTTTCTTTATTAGATTTAAACAAGAATTTGACTTTTAACATGACACAATGGAGAAAAATGATTCATTTAGCCGACCCCACGTAGTGGGACAAATGCTTGATGTTGTTGTTGTTGTTGTAAACTATTAGTGCCATGTGCTAATCTATATAACAGAAGCATGCAAATTTCAATTTTTTTAATTTTGACTGAACTATATTGTAATTTGAATTTTATGTTTATTTTGTTTTATTTTCTACCCTATGATGGAAGGCAACCAATGATCATGTGTAGGTTGTGCTCTTTGACATGTCTTGCCTTTGGTGTGCTAGTTTCTTTGGTGTCATGGCTTGTGGGCTGATTTGGTTTGACCCAAACTCTTTGGTTGGGCTTGGTTGTTTCAGGTTTTGCTGCCTAGTTAGTGAGCTGCTGTGTTCTACTACCTTTTTCAGCTCATTATTGTGAGTTGTGTTTTGTTGCCTTTTTCAGCTCATTATGACTGCTGGACGAGTTCATTCCCCCCCTCTGTTTTGGCCTTTTGGTTCCTCTGCTTGCCCGGTTCCTTCCCCCTGGCACTGGCTGTTCGTTGGTTGTGTCCTAATGGCCTTTCGGGTGCTGCTCCATTCGGCTGCCTATTGACCTTCTGCCTCCCCTTCACTGATTGGATAGTTTGGGCGGCTGTTTGGGCTGTTTGGCTCCCTCTCCTCTCCTATATATAGTGGTTGATTTGTGACATTTGAGAGCAGTTTTTGGTGAGTGAAGATTTCTAAAACCCTGAGGGTTTCTTCTTGGAAATCTTGCGAGCTATTTTCACTATCTTCTCCTCTCTTTGATTTCTTCTTGGGCTTCTTACCTACTTCTCTCCACAAGTTTCCACTCCACTTGTATCTATCTTCTCAAGCTTTTGAATGTGTTGGTTGGCCGGTTTGGTAGCATTTGCCGGAGGAGTTTTTGTGTTGGACGTTGGCCCACAGTAGTTGTGGTAGACCATTGGTTTGCATGTCTTTGAGCACTTCTTATTTTACCTACTTTTTTCGATGCATGAGAGATGACCACTAGCTGGTTGTTCTGAGGATAGTTTTTTTTTTATTTGCTTATTATCTAACTATTGTTTGTTTCGATTTGGTTTTTGGTGTTTGCCTACTTTAATATGAATTGAGAAAATTCTTCTTGCCATTGTGTTGTCCGTTTTGGTTTTTCCAAGTGTCTGCATCAATAACTTATAGGGCAAATAGCATATGCTATTATGATCTTTTATGCCTGTCAATAGTTGCAGTAGTGGGGTGCATCTTATTGCACTAAGCTATAACAAATACTATTTTGCACTTGGCAAATATGAGACAGACCTTCGACTAGTAATAGTTCTTTATTCATAGTATAATTTACATATGTAACAAGTAATTTTCATAAATGTGACTTTTTCTGATGTCCCCCTAACACCTTGATCATTAAAAAGCTGTTTCCTTACCTTTGAATTGATGAATCAATTTGGTCAATCATCTCACAAGTCTTGTATTGCTCTGGATCCTCATGAAAACTGACCATACCGTCCTTCTGATTTATTGTCGCAAATATATCCCCATCTTGAATCTAGATTTAAGGAAACGAATCACAGCTTCAGAAAACTGGCCAGAAACTTATAACAAACTGCACAAATATAATACAAGGAAAATTACCATTTGAAGCACTCGCATTTCAGCTTCTTTTGAGGTGTTTAGGTGAACCGCATTGGCTATATCTTGAAGTGACAAAGTTAGGTAAGTTTGAGTCAATCTCTGGATATTGCGCTTGTACAAAGATGAAAGAACTTGTTTAACCAATCCAAGATTATTGTCCTGAAAGAGCATGTGTGAATAAAATGTCATCAAAATAAAATGAGGATCCTATTCCTTAATAGTCTACTTCATAAAACTACTATATTTTCATGTAACAATTCAAACATAACGAAGTTAGAAGGGCTATTCCAAACATAATGCGTAGAAATGAATTAAATAATAAAGGTACATGGAGACAGCTAGAAAACACAATAGTAAAATTATGGTAAAGAACAAAAAAATGTAATCACCAAAAATATGACATCATAATCATTGACCCATCCCAAGGGTCAGCTTTATAAATCTTTCTTCCACATTTTTATTATCTGCCACACTGTGTTGACTCTATTTCGTGCAAGCCTATCCACACTTCTTTTAACCAGATTTAACTAAAGCTCTGCATTCATTCTTCATTGTCTATCCTTACTTATTTTATATATTTATCTTATAGATTTATCTCCCGCTATAAATAGTGAATGCCCAAATCACAAGTTTATTTTCCACCATATTATCTTATATTAGTATACTTCCATCATCTCCCTTATAGAATCATTGCCGACAAGAAGCAACAGGAATGAAAATAATGGAGGATTTCTTTTGATTATTTTTAATGTATGATTTGCTATAGAAAGAAGAATCAAGTATAGGGGAAGAACCAGGCAAATAAAGAGGGAATTTCAGAGATTAGCCAAACAAATGCCTCAAGGAAGAATAATATAAGATGGAGAGGGAGAATGTATGAAGAAAATTTAGAAGGGACAATCAATCCTACAGGGATGCCAAAAGAAAAGACTTACTTGATTCCATCTTAAAAAATTAAATTATAAGACTGCGCATTATTCATAAAAAAATTCAGATTTCATTCTTCTACATTTACTATGATACACTTACTTTACAAAACATACTAGAATCAAAGCAAACTTTGAAGGCTATGTTCATCTCCACATAATTAAATTATGTTTAGGCTAAGAAACCTGAAGGTAAAGAAGTCAATGAGATTATTTTGAGTGAGAGATTTTGGTCAAGGGTAACATGTTATCACAACTACTAAGCCTTTTGTTCATGTTTTAAAAATGGTTGATGTGGTTAAAAAACAAGGTATGGGCTTTATTTATAATGCAATAGATAAGGCAAAAGAACTGATAGAACCGATAGCATAGAACTTTGGAAGAGATGAGTGCAACTACAAGAAAATTTAGGAAATCATAGATGAGAAATGATATAGCTTCATCTGCATCAATAATTGCACGCCACTGATTACTAATTGAATTCTCAATATTAAAATGCTAATAACAAGTCAACCAATCTCAAATTTTGGTTTGTACCACTATATGAATAGACAAATCACTAACTCAATTAAGAGACCGAAGATTGATCTTTAGCTGGTTGCTTCTAAAAAGAAGATTTCTTTGGATTCTAACAAGTCAAAGACACAGTATCAAAATGTTGCCCAGGTAAATTTCAACATATATTGATTGAATTTCACAAAATGTATACACTCTTCTAATTGTGTTTTTTGAAATATTAGTTGAATGATGGCTTCACTTTAGACATAGCACTCCTTAACTATAAAGATTTTGTAATAAAAGTACTGGGTTTTACATGCACCTCAATAGGGTGTGAATGAAATTGATGTACACTTAGTTCAAAGAGGAGAAATCATCTTACTATCTTAAGGAAGAACTCATTGGTTTAAAACATGTACAACAAGATAATAAAAGATGAACATATGATAAAAGATAATTTTGGAAGATTATGTAGACCCATTAGTTCATAATTATGTGCCAACAAATGATGAATGATTTATGGATGATGAAAATAAAATTAAATAATTAAAATTAAAAGAAGAAGATCTCAATGTTGACTTCTTTGATGGAGGAAGGAATAAAAATAATACAAGTCAAAAAATAAGTAACAAAAATGATTAACATAAAATTTTATGCAATTATAATATCGAAGCAATTTTATTTTTATAATTTAATTAATATTTTATTATTTTTTATTAATTAGGGAAAAGAAAGATGAATGAAATCAACCATGAGAAGGATTGCAAGGATGTTGACACAACTAAGAATAAGGCAAAAGAGAAAGCATTCCATTATAATGATGATTCTAATGAAGACCCACAAAGTGATGAGTTTAAGTGAGACTTTGAATTAAAAATTTATAAAATTAATAACTGAGATTATTTATTTATATTTAATTAGAATAAAGTTATTGTTATAAACATATTTTCACTTGCAGTGATCATACTTTGATGTTAAAATGTTCTTAATTTTTCATATTTTTTTAATTTAATAACTTAATTTGATGCTTACAACCCACCTCATGAATAAAAAATGACTAATATCCGATTGCATAATTCTAAACCTCCTCAGATATAATGTAAGCAAGTGCAAAAAATGATGTGTAATGATGCACATATGTGCAAATAGTGAGAATTGATGTACGATATGGCTTTGCTAGTTGCAGGCAAGCAAAAGGATGAGATGGATGAAGTATTGTGGCCTTTGAAGAGATACAAAGTGAGAGTTGGCGAATGAAGCAATTGGAAAAAAATAACTATATTTCAACATGTGAGGGTAGAGTGCGAAGGATTTTTATTAGGGAGAGAAATAAGGAAAATACTAGAGATAAATAACAAAGAAATAAACTGGAAGAGATAGGAGTGAGAAAGATGAAAAGGAGAGACAAGAGTGTGTATAAGAAAGGTATTATATGATAAGAGAAAGTGTAAGATGATGGTTGAGCAAGGCTAGAGGTCATAAATGGCCATGGAGATTTCTTCATCTATAGCAGTTTTTAACTTTAAATTAATGTTAAACTCATGAACTCTGTCTTTGATATCAAATGGACAACATGCTAGGAATATATAAATATAGGGATTTTTGAAAATGGTAAATTATCTCTAAAAAAAATATGAAACTACCACAATAGTCTTAAATAACAAATGGCACTTAAAATATTAATAATAAACTAAATGGCAAATAAGGATGACCACTCAATAAATTATACTAAAACTACAGATTCATGATTAATGATTGATGTAGGTAGACTTGTACTGCACCATTCAATTTTTATTTTATCACATACATGCAAACCCTTCTTAATATTCTCATTTATGCCACAATTAATTTGTCATTTGACTTGTTATTTGCCCATATAGCCAATATTAGCCACCAAACATAGGCACCCTAAGCGCAACGAATTAAAATTACCTTAAATTTTCCATGATATGTGCTTAATGCATAGTTACTCGGTCATTTTATTTTAACCACCCAATTTAGTTCTAAAACTTATCCCCATCTATATCCATATTCTTCTACAAATAGACCCAAAAAAAACTTAACTTTATTAAAAATATGTATCAAAGGATTTTTAGGAACATTGTCTGATAATATTTCCCTTTGACTTATATATCATGCCCTAAATCTTTATTCTACAATCCCAAAACCTCTTAATTTCTAAAAAATTCCTCAATTATTCTACAATTTCACATAAGATGTCCTGCAAATGTGTTTAATTCCTCTACCACTTCTACAAATATTTGAGTATATTTTATAAGAATCTCCACAATCAATATAAAATAAAAATAATCTCAAAATCTTTTTTATGTAACCATAGGATTAAAAAATTTGAGAAATGAATGATAATTTTTTAAGGGTTCTAAGAAAGAAATGATAAGAAAACAAACAGACACTCACAGTTTGGAATTTCTCCACATTAGTCTGGATAAATGCTTCTAGCTCTGAAAATTTTCCTGTTGCATACGAACTAGCCAAACCAACATACAGCTGCCAATGGAAGAACATATCATTAACCAGAGTTAATCATACATTTATTAGAATTCTAACAATTTTTTGACAGAAACGAGAAAAAAGTTGAGCTCTGATCCCCACAATTAAAAATGAATGGACTGATTTACATCACACAGTCACTAAATCCATCATAAATTGAAAATTCATTTTAATTTGTAAAAGTCTAAAAAGTTATTTGATCTATTTTCTTTGGCATCTTTAAAACTAATCATTTGGCAAGATAAATCTTATGGTTGAAGAAATTAGTACTTATAAAAATTAGCATATCAATTTTCTATGGAAACAATACTGTACTTAATCATTATATTACTTGAATGGCACGTGTCCTTGCATAACAGTGTTTGCAAAAAGCGGATCACCTTTTTGACAACGACTTCTTTGTTAATCAAATCTGATCTGAATTTATCAAACGCAAACACAATTGCTAGTAGTTCTTTTTCAATGGTGGTGTAACTGATTTGTGCTTCATTTAAAGTTCTACTAATATAATAGATGGCATGAAATTTTAGTCTTTGCCATAACACTGCTACACAAATATTATGCATATATATATATATATATATATATATATATATAGCATTGATTATCATTAGAACTAGCTGTCAATGAGTTCTAAATCACAATATGACCACACTAAGAATCCACATCAAGTTTGTACCTTTTTTTTAATAATGAAAATGCTAAAAAAGAATTTTTCAAGTGAGGACTACTGCACAAGTTCATTGCATATAACATAATTATAGTTAGTGAAAACTCTACCAAAACTAATAAGAAGATAAAAATTAGAAAAATATTCAAAAGATAGGAGACCAAGGATTTATAGAACAAAGTTTAAGCATATGATATGTAATTTTATTAAGTGAAAATTTAAGAATTATCAATGAATATTATTAATGATTAAGTAATACTAAGGCTTGATATGAACCAATCTTGTATTCATTATGCAAAAGAATAAAAAATAGATAAGGATATAACTTCCAATTTAAAGGGTAAGTGGTTAAATTGAACAAATGTCTTGAGAGAATTATGAGATAGAGAAAGACATAAAAGGGCCTAATTGAAAGTTTTGCAAAATTGTGCTTATATACCAGATATGTTATATGCAAAGAGCCAAGATGAGTGTAGTTAAAAAAAGGCTAATCAAGATGGATTTTTGGCAAAACTAAAAAATATAAATTGACAAAGGATTATGTAAGAGGGGCCCAAACAATAAAAGATGTTGAAAATAATATAGAGCAAAAATAGATTTAGATGGTTCAAGCATGTACAAAAAAGAGCAGAAAAAAATATCAACCAAGAGGGTAAATAAAATTAAGGACATTACAAAGAAAAGGTGTGAATCGAAGCTAACATCGATAGGAAATGTGCAAAAAGATTCTTGTCAATATTAATCAGATAAATTGAGGACGATACATGAGAAGTAAACATGTACATTTTGGACCATCATTCAGCAATTTGCTCAATTAGATTTCAAAGATCTGCAATTTGGTCCCTGCATTTACTCTTAAATTAACATTCTCAGCCCGACAAATATGTAAGCCATTTATCAAATCAATAAATTCAAACTATGCATTTAATAAGGTTTCACTAAGGTAATTTTCATCAATAGAAAGTACTCTACTACAAAAATCATGGCTTCCAATATCTACTCCCATAACTATGTTAGCATGACAAAAAAAAAAAACCATCCACTTTCACCATCATCACTTCTTCCACCGTAAATACATCCAATAATGCCCTCCTACATCACACTGATGCCATTTACTACACCATCGCTGGTCTGCTGCCCCTATGATTTAACCTCCTCATCAATCCAGCACAATTATTTTCTGCTAACACTTAAACTCTCCATCAGCTAATTCAAGTAATCATTGCAGCATTGAGCATACAATAAGGAACAATATGCAATTTTTTTCCTTCTTACAAGGGCATATCGTCCTACAAGTTTTTCCTCAAATGATATTGGATAACATAATCACAGGACATAATCAAAGGCCTGGCAGTAAATCATAAACAACTAACTCCAAGAAGAAAACAAAAATTGACTAAATTGCTCGTATTTTGAAAGCATGGAAACTACAAAGCCAAGCAAAAGGGAAGGCCAAGTATGTGAGATACATTCATATTATCAAGAAAAAGAATGGAAGCATAACATAATTTAATAAAAATGGATGATAAACCTTCAACACAAAAAACAGAGATTTTAGGACACCTGAGCGTAGCTTTTCAGACTCCTTAGCACAGTTGATGCAGTATATTTTGGAAGCGAAGGAATCTGTCAAAGAAAACTAGTTAATCAACAGTACACAACTGCTTCAAGTGACCAAGTCCTTTTATTAGTAAAGCCAAATCTAAGCAATTAACTATGCCAAGACAATTTCCAGCACACTTGTCTAAATAGAAAGGTGAAACAATAAGCAATCAACAAATTCTTTATCATGCATGTTTGAAGACCCAATGGAGCATCTGCGAACACATAGAATTTTATCTTCCTATGTTCAAAGAAAAAGGAATGACAGTTAAGAGTTTTCCTGGAGACATGAAAATTTCATTGGCCTAGCATATTAAAGAGCCCACAAAGTGAGAGAATGTTTCTTTATTCTATCATGTTCCAGTTACTCTATATGATGTATGAATACGGACACAACACACCATGAACACATGGTTCTTTTTTCTAAATTATTAATATTTAATGTGTACTTAAAATACCTGATACTAGTATCTTTTATTAAAAGTATTAAAGAATGAAGTATAATATCATATACTTCACATATGAAGCTTACCTATAGTAAAAAAGAATAAACTGATAGGAAGTACTTGAGTTTGCAAGTAACCCTAAGGGTAATACTTGAGTTCGCAAGCAAACCTAGCAAGGATTGGCAAAAACAGCGAGAAAAATGGCTGATTTCATAGAGAAATCAGCAAAGATCATGCAGGAAATTTAGTAGATTGGAGAGGAAACACAAAAGAAATTCTTTGATTCAATCCACGAACAAGAAAAAAAAAGCAAGATACAAATTTATTCAATTCAAGAGGAAGAAATAACTCTCCAAATCTCTAGCAAAGCCTAGAGCCCACACAAAATAAACCCTAGATCTCAAAATTGAGCAAATCTCAAAATGCCCCCAACCCTAGCCGCCAAAGGACTAATTAAAGCCAAATGAAGCTTACAAAATCCCTAAACAGCCCCTAATTCAAATTTTTCCTCATAAACACAATTTAATTAAGTAGAAGGCCCCAATAGGGCTTCTGCCCCCCTCCTTGGTTCCACACCATGCTTGGGTCGGCGGCTATAGCACTAAACCGTTCCATGTTAGATCGGTTCAACCCAGCCCCTCCTGGGCTGGCAGCATAACATTACTCCCCTCCCAAAGACTCACCTTGTCCTCAAGGTGAAAAGAAGGAAACTGGAGCCTCACTCTGTCGTATGGTTCCCAAGTGGCCTCAAACTCGAGATTGTATCTCCATCTGATAAGCACTTCCTTATTCCCCTTTTTATCCAATCTGACCCCTCCTAACTCCAGTGGTTCTAAGATCACTTCCAACTCCATTGTCAGTGTAGCTGGCAACTCCGTTCTAACAGCATGCTCCCCTAGAGCACTTCCAACTCCTTGTTACACCCACCTTGTAGGGATCAAAGTACCTTGGAGCCAATTTCTCATTCCTCCTGTTAGCAACTAATTTATACCTGTAGGGCCTTAGTTTCAAGAACACTTTCTCCCCCCACTTCATATTGTATGTCTCTTCTATGTGTGTCTGTCTAATTCTACATGATTTGTTATGTCATCCCCAGATGTTTATTTAACTTGTCCAACACCTAGTCCCTCTCCTCTAAGTACAGTTCAACTGAAGAGACTGGTGTGCTTCCTCTCCCAAAATGCACTAAGTGTGGGAGGTCTCTTCAATACAGCATCTTAAAAGGAGTCATCTGGGAAGCAGAATGGTCAAGGTATTGTAGCAATACTAGGCCCATGGTAACCATTTTGCCCACATCTGTGGTGTTTCAGAAGAAAAACACCTCAAATATATCTCCAAACCTTGGTTCACCACATATGTTTGTTCGTCTGTCTGTGGATGGTAGGTAGTGCTTCACTTGAGAACAGTGCCCTGCAACCTGAAAAGCTCCCCCCAAAATTGGTTGAGGAACACTTTATCTCGATCAGACACAATCGATTCATAAATCCAATGTAATTTAACCACCTCCCTGATAAATGCTGCCGCCACTGATACTGCGATGTAGGGATGTCGTAGGAAGATAAAATGTGCTTACTTACTAAGTATGTCGACAACTACCAAAATGACTGTGAATCCCTATGAGCGTGGTAGTCCGTTGATGAAATCCATGGACACTTCCTCCAATACTAAGTTTGGAAGTGTCAAGGGTTGTAGTAATCCTAGAGCTATTACCATATATTTGTTTTTCTGTCACACTTCACATTTTTCCACCATCTCCTCAACATCTTTATACATCCCCTTCCAGTAAAGCTCTGATGCCAGCCTTCTATATGTCCTTTGTACTCCTGAATGACCCCCAACTGCACTGTCGTGAAACTCCTGTAATAAGTGAGGAATGTGTAAGGAAGTTTGTGGCATCACAAACCTCCTCTGATGCAACAACCTCTCCTCCTTAAGATAGTAACCTGAATGGCTACTATTATCTTTCATCAAGTCTTCCCTTATCTTCCTCAACTCTTTGTTTTGCATGTTTTCTTCCTTGATGCCCCCCTAGTCAACCATCAGTGGTACTGAAACCGCCAACTCCTGAAGTTCCTCAACACATCTAGATAAGGCGTGGGCCGCCTTATTTACCACCCCAAGCCTGTACTAGATCTCAAAATCATAGCCTAACAATTTTGACAATCATCTCTGATGTTCCTCGGTCACCATCCTTTGCTCCAAAAAATACTTTAAGCTCCTTTGATCTGTACTGACAATGAAATGTCTTCCAAAAAGGTAAGGGCGTCATTTCTAAATGGCCATCAACTCTCTCTCGTACACTGACTTCAATTTAGCCCTAGTTGATAGCACTTGACAAAAGCATGTTATAGGCCTGTGATTCTGCATCAACACTGCCCTCAATCCATATCCTGACGCATCGGTCTCCACTACAAAGATCTGGCTAAAGTCCATAAGAGCTAAAATTAGGATTGTTGTCATGGTTTTCTTCAATCTCTAAAAAGTCTGGGTTGCTGCCTCTCCCTACAAAAAAATTATCCTTCAGTTGCTCAATCAACGACCAAGCAATAGTATTGTACCCCCTCACAAACCTTATGTAGTATTCAATCAATCCTAGGAAACCCCTCAACTCCCTTATGTTCATAGGCATAGGTCATTTCTGCATTACCTCAATTTTTTGTCTGATCAGCCGCTACTCCCTCCTTAGACACTACAAGTCCCAAATAATCCACCCTAGATTGGGCGAAGCTGCACTTCTTTAAGTTGGCCCTTAGCTGATGTGCCTGTAAATCTTAAGAACCTCCTCTAAGTGCTCCAGATGCTCCTCCGTTTTGCTGTACACCAAAATGTCATCAAAAAATACTAGAACAAACTTCCTGAGGTGTTGCCGGAATACCCTATTCATCAAAGACTAAAACAGTAGCAGGGGCATTAGTGAGCCCAAAGGGCATCACCAAGAACTTATAGAGCCCCTCATGCGTCATGAAGGCTTCTTCTAAATATCCTCCTCATTCATCTTGATTTGATGGTAGCCCGACTTAAAGTCCATTTTAGAAAATGCTACTGCTCCATGAAGCTCATCTAATAGCTCATCGATCTCCATAATGGGGAATTCATTCGGTATAGTCTCCCTATTCAATGCCCTATAATCCACGCAAAACCTCCATCTCCCTTCCTTCTTTTTGACTAGTAAGAATAGACTAGAGAAAGGACTCACACTTGGTCTGACAATCCCTGCTTCCAACATATCCCTAATCAGCTTCTCAATCCCATCTTTCTGAATTTAGGGGTAGCAGTATGGTCATACACTAATTAGTGACACCCTTCCTTTAGAAGGATTGCATGCTCCTACTCTCTAGGTGGTAGTAACACCCTTGAGGTGGCTAGAACACCTCATTGAAATGTTTTAGGAGTGATTGTACTGCAAGAGAAATGTTTCCTTCCCCTACACTGACCCTCTTTAAACGCTGCAATTCGACCAAATATCTGCCTCCCACCTCTTGTATGGTTCTGATCATTGATTTGAGAGATACTCCTGCTCTGAACAGCCCTGCATCACCCTGGATCATCATTCTCCTTCCCCCCACCACCATTTCCATCCTTAGTGCTCCTCAATTTATCTTAGTCTCCCCCAAGGTTTGCAGTCATTTCATCCCCAAGATGACATCCGTACTCCCCAACTCCAAAAGGAGAAAATCTTCCCTAACATGTATTCCTTGAATGGTCAGCAACACTCCCCTGCAAACTCCTCTACCAATTTCTACCTTTCTCGTGCCCATCATCACCCTGTAGCCTCTTATATCCACTAATTTCACCCCAGTAGATCAACAATCTGGGTGGAGAAGAAATTGTGGGTTGTCCCACTATTTATCAACACTACCATCTCCTGATCTACTATCTCTCCCTTCACCTTCATATTATGATTCAAAGCGAATCTCACTATTGAGTTTAGGGAGACTTCTACCAAATTCAGATGTAATTTCTCATCTTCCTCCATCTCTAGCCTGCTTCCACCTCCCTCTTCAGCTTCCTCGTCATCACAGACGGTGAGAACCTAAAGAGTTCAGTCATTACACCTATGCCCCGGCACGTACTTCTCATCACATCTAAAACACAACCCCTTCGTCCTTTTCTCTTGTATCTCCTTCTTTGTCATCCTTTTGAAACTTCCCCCATTTCCTCCTCCAGTTCTCTCCTTGGGCACTTCCTTCAGACTCCCTGGCACTGGCCCCTTGGGGGCTAAGAAGGTGATGGTCATCCTGTACGATCCCCCCGAGTTGCTCCCCCTCGCCCCTCTCTCCAGCTGCTCTGATCCTCCACCAACTGGGCTAGCTCCATGGCCTACCCCAAGTCTCTTGGCCTAATCACTCTGATCATTGTCTGTATCTCTTGTTTAAGCCCTTTCATAAAGTTCCCCTCCAGCACTATCTCAGAGAGCCGGTCCAATTGGCTGGCGAATTACTTGAACCTATCACGGTAATATGCCACAGTCCCCTCCTGCGTCAAGGCAAAGTATTGCTCATAGAAGTCTCCTTCCCTACTGGTTCTGAAATGTTCTAGTAAGATCTCTTTGAACTCCCTCTAGCTCCGGATGGGTTG